CGAACCCCGGGCCGCCGCAGCGGAGCGCGCGCACTTAACCGCTTGCGCCACCGGGCCGGCCCCTCACTGTGGTTTTGATTTGCATTTCCTGGCGATTGGTGATGTTGAGCATCTTTTCATGGACCTGTTGGCCATCCGTATGTCTTTGAAAAATGTGTATTCAGATTTTCTGCCCATTTTTTAATTGCATTGTTTTTTTGCTATTGAGTTGTATGAGTTCCTTATATATTTTAGATATTAATCCCTTATCAGATATATGATTTGCAAATATTTTCTCCCATTCAGTAGGTTGCCTTTTCATTTGTTGATGGTTTCCTTTGCTGTGCAGAAGCTTAGTTTGATGTAGTCCCACGTGTTTATTTTTGCTTTTGTCGTCTTTGCTTTTGGTGTAAGATCCAAGGTTTATTTGATGTTTTAAGACTTAGAAAGAGGAAATAAGGGTGATTTCCTCCAGTTTTTTCTCCGAGTATGTAAAATTTACTGACTGCTTTTTCGTATCTTGTTAGTTTTTCTTTTTGATCTCTGACATAAAAATAGAAGGGAAAAATGGAGAGAAAGAGAAGAAGTATAGGAGGCCCACACCCAGCTTTCTGAATTGAAACATGTCTCTTGTGTCTTTGTGACTGTTTAATGAATTTCAGCAGATCATTGTTGGTTTATAATTAACACTAATTCTAGGATAACCAGACTAACATTGGCTTTAAAAAATTACAGGTCATGTACATTTTAGCTGGAGAGAAGAAAAGCTGTCTGGAAGTGCGCGCTGAGTGATCAGGAACAAGTGATGGGTAGAGTGTGGTTTGCAGGCTTAAAATTCAAACCGCATGTATTGTTCTTTTGGCTTGATTCAAGGCTCTGTGAGGGGTTTTGGTAGGTGTCGTTGTGGAACACGATTGTCAACAGCCTGGTCTTCTCTGTCTCCTCTGAGTATTCGTCTGTGTGCTCTTGTTCTCTTAGAGCCGGGCTTTAGGGATGAATAAATTATGGGAACGTCTGCCATTTACGTAGGCTTTTCTTTTTAATGGCTACTGCAGACATAGTTAAACAGGTGCTGGGGCACCTCATGACAGAGCGTGGAAAATGGAGCATAACAGCAGGCCTGTGTGTGGAGCTGCTGAGACCGTGTGAGACAAGCTTCTAAAGAGCAGTTGTTGAGAATTCATCCTCGGCTTTGCTCTTTGTCTCGTTAGGGGTGTGCAGTTTTGTCGTTGGTAAACTTTAGTCTTATCTAGAAAAACTAAAAACCATCATTACTTTTGTGACTCAATTTATGTTTATATTTAATTTATGTAAATAGCATTCTTTGAATTAATAGCATTCACGTTTCACTAAGAAAGCCCCAGATATTGTTTATGATGCTTTAAACTCAGCTCTGGCTGCATATGAAAATTGCTTGGAGAGCTTTTAAAAACAAGCAGTGCCCTGGCTCCACCTCAGAATGATTGAATTCAAATATGTGGGATGTGGGGCTCTAGGAGTCTTTTTTTTCTTTAATTGTTTAAAGCTCTCCAGGTGATTTTGAGGTGTGCATGATTGAGAATAAGTATATTTAATCACTGCTTATCAAATGATCTGTGGTGAAGGACTAGTTTTTTGTTTTTTTCCTAACCTATTGTAAACTGATACTTCAAAAGAATACAGTCAAAATGACTTACTAGAAAAGTGTAATTCAAGTTCCAAATTTTATTCTTTTTTTTTTTTTTCTGGTGAGGAAGATCGGCCCTGAGCTAACATCTGCCAATCCTCCTCTTTTTGCTGAGGAACACTGGCCTTGGGCTAACATCCATGCGCATCTTCCTCCACTTTATATGTGACGCTGCCACAGCACGGCTTGGCAAGTGGTGCGTCGGTGTGTGCCCGGGATCCGAACCAGTGAACCCCGGGCCGCTGCAGCGGAGCGAGCGCACTTAACTGCTTGTGCCACCGGGCCGGCCCCCAAATTTTATTATTAGGCTCAACAGACATAAGAATTACTCTGTCAAATTGCTATAAATGTCTGTAAATGAACCAGTAATAGCCAGCTTGCAGATCAGCCCTGGTCCCTGACCGCATTTGCAGTAGCACCTGTAAACTGTTGCTCTGCCCTGGTAAGCTGTTACTTACTGATGTCTAATGGCACGCAGGTCAACTCCAACCTTTAAGACTTTCTTTTCGTAAGGCCAAAACTGTAGGCATTTATATACTTACATTCCTAATTACTGTAGGAAATTATTTTTACTCACCATTGAGCTAGGGTCTCCTTTGTTTTAAGCACTCTGCAAAGTTCAGAAATGATAAAAGGAAGCCCTGGTCCTTTTGTACCTTCGGAGAACCAGAGAGCACTGGATAGGTGAGCTAGGTTTAGAAAGGCGTTGGTCCGACTCTGCAAGCTTTATAGCTACCTCATAATTTTCTCTGTATTTTCATTTAAATTATATGATTGATCTTCATAACAGCCCCGTGTGTTCAGTCGGACAGAGATTATCTCACTTACCTTACAGGCTGGAAGACAGACATTCAGCTCACATGGTGGACCCAGTCTCTCCTGATTTAGTTGGAAAATAAAAATTGAAACAAGTTCCTGACTCCATTGTAGCTCTGTCACTACACGGCAAAGGTATTTCCAGAAACGTAGCAGCTTCTGACACTGCAGTGGTGGCCAAGAGACATGGTGGTGTAAATTCTGCTGTGTTGTAGACAAATTCTTCTCTAATTTTTTAGTAGAAATTTAAGGCATAGGCAGATGTATGATGCAGACTCTGAACATTTTTTGTGGGAAAAAAACTAAAGCATTCTTGTACAGGAAATAAGTGAAAAAATAAAGGATAGGTAAAATTTTTTTAATTTTCTGTCTTTGTTTTTTCTTTTAACTGCAGAATTTGTTTAATATGGTTGTAGAAGTACCTCGGTGGACAAATGCTAAGATGGAGGTATGGATATATTCTGTGACTATCAAGTGGAAATGATAATTAATAATAATATGAAAACTTTATTTCAAGTTGTTTGCCATAATATTTTAAATTTGAGATGGTTGATAAACTCCTGTATAGTGAAACATTCTTGTGAACTTACTTTGAATCTAATTTCAAAAAGCAAAATATTTAAAGCTGAATTTACACTTTAAGGAGAATGGTTTCCGTTTTTGCCTCTCTAGTTTGTGACACACGTATTTACTTAATTTTCCTTGACGACTCCGTCCTTTAAAGTGACAAATATTTTCAAGGTTTATTAAATAGAATCTGAGATGTATTTTGTTCATAGACACAACGGAAACATGTTTATTTGGGGCTGAGGGCAATTTTAGTTTCTAAGGACTTTATTCTCCTTTAGATTTTTCTCTACCAGGAATGAAAGCATTTTCCCGGCCAGCTGTTGATGTATGAGCACTATCTGAGAGCATCTGCTGTTCCCCTGGTTAGCTTTTTTTAATCTTTTCCATGAGACATGAACCTATCAAGAACTTCCCTTCTGCTTTTTGAAATTTTATTGTTCCATCTTCTTAGGTAGGATTCCTTATAGTTCTGAGTGAAATTTAATTTATGGTCCTTAGCTTGTTTAGTTATTTAAGCCTTGTCTGACAACTTTGGATGTGGTGGCAAGTACTATTGCAAGTGTTTTTTTTTTTTTAATTTTATTTATTTATTTATTTTCCCCCAAAGCCCTAGTAGATAGTTCTATGTCATAGCTGCACATCCTTCTAGTTGCTGTATGTGGGACACGGCCTCAGCATGGCTGGAGAAGCGGTGCATCGCTGCACGCCCGGGATCCAAACCCAGGCCACCAGCAGCGGAGGGCGTGCACTTAACCGCTAAGCCACAGGGCCGGCCCTATTGCAAGTATTTAAATTAAGGATTGTTATGTAGGTGTATATTTTTCAGAATTTATATTTGGAGAATTGTCAGTAATTTCACCAGGTCCTGGTAGTATCTTTTTGTTTATATTTTAATAGGAAAGAGTAAAGATACTAGACTCTTCTTTTGGTCTTATTCAGGTGTAATGGTTTGTCACCTGGCTGTGCTCCACCCCATAGGTACAGGACCAAGAATCTGAGATTCTACCTGATTTAAGCAGCATTGGTTCATTCAAACATGACTTCAGTTATTTTTTGTTTACTTTATAGGATAGATTTTTTGTCTTTTTGCATGGCAATTTGGATAAGTTTGATAGAAAGGTAGCTTCGAGATGAAACCACTTGGTGAAAATCTGTGAGGTAACTTTATCATCACGAGATTGATGGTAAAAAAAAGCCCAAGGTTAGTAACAAAAAGCAATTTGATGAATCTTTATCTTCTTGCCGTTTCAATCATTTTATTATTTGTGTTAGAAATAATGAGTGCATTAGTAATAGAGTGCCTAAATATTTCATCTGTTTCCTTTCTGCATGGTTTTTCTTACACAGTACTGTAAATTAGAAATAAGAGCTGGCTTAATCTATTTTAAAGTATCTTTGATCAGTAAGTTGGAATATGAATATTTAGTCTGATAATAGCAGATTTTAAAAATGCTGTTTGAATATAGGATTACTCATTTCTCATCACCCCCCTTTCTTCTGTCATCTGCTTAGATTGCCACGAAGGAGCCGTTGAACCCCATTAAACCAGATTTAAAAGACGGCAGGCCGCGCTACGTGGCGAATATCTTTCCTCACAAGGGTTATATATGGAATTACGGCGCCCTCCCTCAGGTAACATTTTTGTTAAAATGGTAAAACTTCTCTGTCTTCTGAAAAAATTGCCTTGTAAATCCTGTGAACTACTTGAATTTAAATTGGTTCTGAGGACATGTCAGTTTGAGAGATTTGTACATTTAAAATTTTTCAAGTTTTATTGTATCAATAAATTCTTTTTAAACGACATATGTGTCTGTGCTCAGGTTCTTGGAGTTAGGCATTTAGAACACTCACATCTGGCCTTTTGAACACATTTCTTTTTCTTGGTTTGGCTAGTAAGAGTCAGTGCAGAATGTTTTATCTGCTTTATCTACTATCATTTCTTGAATGTACATTCATACATGATAGCAGGGATTTTATTGTTTAAACTTTAACAGATGAAGCTTTTAAATTATAAACTTTTTTCAGAGCTCACTATGAATTGCGTTAGGGACTTCATTGTTCTCTGTTGTGAATTTACGCTGTCGGTGGGAGCAGTGAGGGCAAGGAGAACCGGGCCTTGGCGACGGGCAGCCGCGCTCCTGTCGGAGTCGCCGCTGTTGGCTGCCCCTCCTTCTTGTCCCTGTTTGTTTTCTTCTCGTGTCCCTCACTGTGGGCACTGGAAGTGGTCGCTCCTTCCAGGTTATTCAGAGAGGAACACTCAGAATACGCCGAATCCAAAGTTAGGTTTTGGGGAAAGAGAGAAGCATCTGCCTTCATGTTTATAAAAGCCATTCGACCATCCACCTATCTGGATATTTCATTTTTGTATTTTTATTTTATTAATTTTAATATTTTGCATGAAATTCCAAGATGCTTTTGGGGAAATATCTGAGAAAAAAGGGGTCTGTCTTTATCCAACTCAAAAAAACAGCTGCCCATGTAGACTAAACATTCACAGGAAAAGAAAAAATGTGTTTTCTAAAGAGTCCAGCTGCCTTTGCTGCATGAGAGCACCATGCGGATACATTGCTGTGAAACAGGCGCTTCTGAAATGACAGGCTGAGAGTGAGGAGGTCTGCTCCAGGGGCGCCAGGTAGACGTTTTGTGGACCTGCAGGGAAAGGGTGAAAGCATTCTGTTAAGCTTAGGGGATACTGTCTGTAGGAGAAGATATGTGGATGAGGGGAGGCCAAGGAAGCCACTGAATTAGAGACAGACAGAGACGTGTAAAGTAAAGGAGGCAGGGGATAAACTCAAGTTCACCTATTTATTTCATTAAACATTTACTAAGGCTTTGTGTGCTAGGCAGTGTATTAGGTGTTGGGTGTACAAAGAAAAATGAGATATAAATACGAGATCGAGGCAGCATCACGAGTGACTAAGAATGTGGGTTTTGGAGCCAGATTGCCACTTCTAGTACTGTGACTTGGGCAGTCCCTGTGTCCTGTGCCTCGCCGTCTTCGTCTGTGAAGTGGAGATGATAGAGCTCCTGCTGTGTGTGGTGGTGCTGAGGCTACACGAGTTACTGCGCGTCCGTCTCAGCACAGCGCCTCCTGGAGAGTGAGCTCGATACCACTGCCACTGGTGCTGTGATTGTTAGGAGGTCTTCCCTCTGAGGACTTTAGTCTCGTGGGGGTGACCAGCAGCTAGACTGGTGGTTACAGTGGAGCCTAACGGGTGCTCCTAACCTGTCTACTCATTCTGAGCTTTTGTAGTTTATCTATTTCAAGTCCTGACAAATTTTTGTCCTCCTCTGGATGTCTGAATTTTCAGGGTGTTCTTATCTGCTGTTATATTGTTTGTTAGATGCAGGAGTTCTCCTTTAGTTAAACAGAATTAGACTGCAGCAGCATCTTAGTGCGCCCTGCCTTCACTATTGCCTCCCGAAGTTCCATGCTCCACCCAGCATCCAAAATGCCATCATGGAAGCAGAAACCTGCTAACGTGTTGCCCATATGAGAACCTTACTAGATGGTTCAATAGCCACTGCCATTCAGCACTGCTAAGAGGGTAAGAGAAGATCCTGCCAAGCCTCCCTAGCCCTGCGTCGTCTGTCCGCTCCCTTCCCTGGCCCCGCCCGCAGCATCCGTCCTTCCACTGCGCCAACTTCCTCAGTGTCCGTTTCCCTGTTGCCTCACAGAGCTGCTCCTTCATTCAGTGCACACTTCTGAGTGCCTGGTGTTCGCCAGACAGGCCCTAAGTACTGGAGGTCAAGTAGTGAGAAAAGTGACAGATTCCTCTGGGACTTTTATTCTGGGCAGAGAGACAGACCAGGAAAAATAAGCATATACAGTGCATAGTTTGTCAGATGGTGGTGAGTGTGTTGGAGAGAAATAGAGCAGGAGTGGGGCTGGGTGTGTTGGGGGTGTTGGGGTCAGGTGGGGAGAAGGCCTCTGCGAGAAGGTGCTGCCTGAGCGAAGACCTAGAGGAAGTGAGGGGACCAGTGGTGTGGACGACATCTGGGGAGCCCACCAGAGACGGTGAGTACAGAGGGCCCAGGGTGGAAGAGTGCCTACCATGTTTGCTAACAGACAGGAGGGCAGTGTGGCCAGAATGGCGGTGAGGAAGAGGAACAGACCTGTGTTCTCTCTGCCTCTTCTTACCAGGGGTCTTGGCTATTTTTTAAACCCAAGCTGCTCTTGTAGTGTGTGTCTGTGTGAGTGTGTGTGTTAGTCTTCAGCAGGAGAGTGTACTGTAGACTGCATAGAAGTTATTTACCAAACAAAATAACTAAATCGATTAATGTTTACAGCAAGTTGAAATTAGGCCAGTTGTTTGTGGGAAGGATAGTTGTGCCTAATGTCTTTTTGCTTTGTAGTTGCTGATAAGGCAGAATGAGCCTGTTAAAGTGAAAGCCGCCCAGCTCCTGTTTATGTGTGTTTTTTTTTTTTGGTGAGGAAGATCAGCCCTGAGCTAACATCCGATGCCAATCCTCCTCTTTTTGCTGAGGAAGATTGACCCTGGGCTAACATCCGTGCCCATCTTCCTCCAATTTATATGGGACGCCGCCACAGCATGGCTTGATGAGTGGTGCCTCGGTGCGCGCCGGGATCCGAACCTGCGAACCCTCGGGCCGCCGAAGCAGAGTGCATCCACTTAACCGCTACACTGCTGGGCTGGCCCCCCGTTTACATTTTTGGCCTCTCTCCAGCGCCTCCCCGTCCTCCTCCTGCTTCCTCGCTCCCACACGGGCCTGCTCGCATTCGATTCCTCTGCTCCTCCAGGCACGTCCGCCAAGGCCCTCACGCTCACCGTGTCCTGCAGCTTGGAACTGTCTCCTGATGTGCACACGGCTCACCTTAAATGTGTGCTCCCAGTCACCGTCTTCACGATGTCTGCCCCGCGCATCCTGTATGGCTTGAACCCGGCCTCCTGTATCCCATTCTGCCTTCTGTGCTTTATTTTCCCTTTTCCATGACACCTCCCAACTTCCAACATGCTGTATAATTTAGGTGTTTATCATGTTTGTTGTTCACTTACTCCAGCTAGAATGCCGGCTCCGTGAGGGTGGAGAGTCTGTCTGCCTGGTTCTCGGATGTCTTCCACCTGCCCGGCTTACTGCCTGGCACAGAGTGGGTGATCCATAGTATTTGTGGGATGAGTAAGTTCACGAATGCGCTGCGTGTGTGGTGTTTGTTTCATAGGCGTGTGTGGGTATTGGATTTTGCTGTTCTCTTACCTTCTGTCTTGTAGCAGCAGAAAATTAGTTCAGAGAAATTACCAAGCCAGCCATGCCTGAGGAACTTGGAAGCAGCAGAATTCCATTCAAGTAGCAGTCTCTCCCCTGAGCTGGTGATCCTCAGGGTGCCGTCCTTCAGACCTTCGCTGTCTGGATGGTTTACCCTTGATATCTTCTCCTGCACTAGCAGACGTGCCTTCCTCAAAGTCTGAGTTTGGCCTGTGCAAAAATCCTCTTTGTCTGTCTTCCCGCAGTTGTTCAGATTTCACACATCTAATGGGTCATTCAAGGGTTCTCTCTTTCTGAGTGAATGTTTAGAAGACCCGTCTGAATAATGGTAAAGGACTAGAGTCACTAGATTCAAGACTTCTTCAGTCTTAATGTGACGTCGTTGAGTTTATTGTTTTGAACTTCACCATGAGTTTGGGTCATTGACCCAGGTCATGTAGTACACGTATTAGCTTTTAACCTGGGGCCAGTGACTGAGGCTCTCGGGCCTGTTCATCTGTGTCGTCAAACCACTTACCCCACAAGGTCACTGTGAGTGCTGAGTGGGGTGATCAGTGTGTGGGGCCCCGTAGTGAGTTCTCAGTGGTGACACTGTCACTACTGATGTCAGCTGCTGGTGGTGAAGCAGCGGTTGAGGTGTTTGCTCCAGACTGGAGCTGGCAGAGTCCAGGCGGAGGCTGAGCAGACCCCACCTCCGCCCACGTGGTGGTGGGAGTCCCCATCAGTCAGGAGTGGCTCTCGGGGCACGGGGTGCACGGCTCTGTGTATGTCAGTGGTTTTTCAGGACCTGAGGACCAGCGTGTGGTGACTGCAGACATAATGGCTGATACTTAGGATTCTAAGGCAGTGATCTCAGATGCCTGCATGAGGATGGGTAGGATTTGATTTGGGCTGGATCAATAATCTGTGTGTTCTGATTTATTTATTTTCATGGCCTTATAGCTGTCCTTTGTGTAAGTTTAACATTATTTATATTCCTCTTGATAGGTTGTTTTTTGGTCTGCTTTTCTTGGGTCCATGCAAAAATTTTCTGTATATGTAGTGTACAGGTCTGTACTCCTGGGTCTGTAGCTGTGAGTCAGACGGCTAGATTTTGAGTTACACCCCATGTGACTTGACTGGTATCCCAGATTGTTCACAAAAGAAGTTGTGACATATGCACTCCTACCAGTAGTCTCTGGGTTCCAGGTGACTTACATCCCTCCTGGTGTTTGGCATTATCAGATTTTTAGGTTTCTGAAATGGTGTCTCGTTCTGGTTTTAATTTGTATTTCTCTCATCAAACTGGTTACCTTTTCTTACATTTGTAAGTCTCCCCGTGTCCTCTTCTTTGAATTTCCTGTTCCTGTCTTCGCCCATTTTGTATTGGGTTGCCCTTTTTTTTATTTAGTTGTAGAAGTTAGTTCTAAATTCTGGGGGAAATAAATATGAAGCTTTGGAATTGCCTCTTCTGGGTATTTCTTTTCCAGCCTGACTTTACTTTCCAGTTGCTTCTCTGCCTAGTTATGCACTTGAAGCTCCACAAGAGGGCGTAGTCAGAGTTTTTAATTTGTCACGATTTCCTCTCCTGGTGATTGCTTGAAATGATACTATGTTTTCAAGTTAAGTTAGAAGTCATTTAGTATGAATCTCTTTTTGTAGTAAAAACAGAGGCCTATAGATACAAAGTATTAAAGGCAGGGCTGGAAGTAGAAAGAACCAGCCTGGTGTTTTGCTGGAGAGGGAGATCATGAAGAACTGGCCCTAAAATGACTTTATGTAGCTTAAGAGTTTTGCAATTACATGCTTATTTCCTCAACAGAAGGAACTAAATTGATGGGTGGTATTGACAGTGGGGTTCTGAGGGGAACGTAGACCGACCAACCAACCAGCCAACCAGCAGAAACACCACCAACACCAAGCGGAGCACACCTTCTGTGAAGATGGTTTCTGTCTCAATACAAGGAGAGACTTGCTTACAATTCCCGCTGATCAGAACGGGCTGTCACCTCATGAATCTGGGAGTGTCCTCCCCCCCTGGTGGCAGTCATGCAGGTGGTGAGTGACCAAGACAGTCACAGAACTCAGGCTAGTTTGTGTCTACCACTGTCTCAGTTAAGCCACTCTTCTGACAGCTGGGGAAACTGTGGTCTGGATGTTTCAGCCAGGGTGGTTCGTGGCTGAAGTAGGACTAAGTCTGGATCTCCTCCCTGAGGCCAGAGTGACTTCTCACCCACCACACTTGCCCCTCTGCATGGGAGGTTTGGGAGACGATGCCCGCGTCGGGAGGGAGGCCCTCTCAGATGTTTCCATTCTGCTTCTGGGTGCTCTGATTCTGGTTAGACCTCAGTCTCATCTTGGTCTCTCCAGCACGTTAGGATTAATTTTATGGCATTTGTGACAAATGCTGTTCCAGTTATTTACATAACATTTTTCAGGGCTTGACTGTGTCCTGTTCATCTCTGTCCTCACTCCTGGCCTAGAGACGGTGCTCCACAAATCCTGGCTCTGTGCATGGATCCTGGTGGGAGGTGACAGAAAACAAGAAGCAGTGAGGGGACACTAGGACAGAACAGAACTGCAAGGAAGGTTTTAAGGAGATGCTGAGAGTAAGAGGTGGTGTTTAAAAGAAGAGACCCACGAGATAGACTAAAGGTGGTTTCTGAAGGTAATGGCCATTCAGTTGCTCTGGCTGTTGCAATTTGGGCATCATAGCAGAAGGGTTAATAGCATGAGTTCTAATCCTGTTGCCACTGCTTAGGAACTGTGAGCTGGGGCACGTTTAAACTCTGTGCTGCAGTTTACTAATCTGTGAAACGAGGTTGATAGTGGTACGTTCCTTCGAGGGTGGATGTGGGTGTGTGTCACCTAGCAAGCATCTCTCACCTATAGCCAGTTGGTAAGGTTAACAATTATGTTTATTCTTCTTATATTTTATTAGTAATATTGGGGTAGTGAAGTGTTGTTGGACTTGGTTTACTGATTTTTTTTTTGATAGGGTGGGTCAGTTTATTCCTAAATATACTATAATTAAGACTAGAAGGAAAACACTGGAGTTTATCCAGGGTTAGCTGTAGATGAATCCATTTTTAGTTATTTATATAAAAGTAGAGGAGCCAAGCTTGGATAACCTGAAGTTCTAGATAACAATCTTGAGATGACACAGGCTCTGCACATGTTATACTGTAAATCTAAGGAACTTCTCAGTTCCATTTAAATTCAGGTGATTATGAAGCTTTTTGGGGAGGATGGTGTGTAGGGGATATTGAAACTTGATAACAAATGTCTGTTATGCTGTCCATTTATAAAAATCCCCATGTATGTATTCTGTAGCCAACAGGGTATGTAATGTTTTCAGTAAACTAAAGAGTTGACATCTTCTCATGTGTTTGTCAAGGTCTTGAGATTTGATGGCAAAGGTAAAGATTTTTTAAATGGAATGAAATTGATTTTTCTCTTCTTTGGTGGATGCTGTCTTTAGTTTATGAAGGGAAAACTGGGTTTCTTCTAGTAGAAGTCACTTAAAGAATAGGAAGTTTATTTTCAAATGCGGAAAGCCAGACCAAAGTGCAGTTACCATGTAAAGGAAGTGGTGAGTGGTGGCAGCAGGTTTAGGCGGGCAGGGGGGCAAGGGCACAGACTATGGGAGCGTCGAACCAGAGCGCCAGTGAGCCTGAGTGTAGACGCTGACTAAACTTGGAGGAGGTGTGTGTTTGGAAGTTCCACCCACTTTCAGATGTGATCATGCAGACAAAGGAGAGCCAGATGGGAGGACACACTCTAAATCTGTTCTAGTTATGATGATGCTTGGGGCAGGACTGGCCTGTTGGCACTGAGTCCACGTAATTTCTGAGCATTTCCCTTTGGCTTATGTCTGTCTATGGAACTTCATGATCGTGTGGAAAGATTAAGATATGTTATAGCGAGCATTAACCTATGTTTCTCCCCCATCCCTTTTTTTTAGACTTGGGAAGATCCCTGTCGAAGAGAAGAGAGCACAGACTGCTGTGGAGACAATGATCCTATTGATGTTTGTGAAATAGGCTCCAAGGTTTGTTTTATAGATGTGTTATTCTAATGTGTGTTCTGGTTTATTCATGCCACAGAATTTCAGTTCTCCTCGGAAGGCACCAGTTCTTCAGCTCTTTGAGTTCTAGCCCATGGATCCCTGGTGTCAGTCCCTGTTTGTATCTTCACTTTCTCCTCTAACGAGGGCTTGGTGAGCTATGGCCACGGCAGGTCAAATCCTGCTCACCACCTGTTTGTATAGATAGCGCAGCTATGCCCATCCATTGACGTCCTGTCTGTGGCTGCCTCTGCACCACGATGGCAGAGTTGAGGAGCGGTGGCAGGGACTGTGCAGTCTGCAAGGTCTAAAGTGTTTACTGTCTCACCTTTCACAGAAGAAGTTAGCTGAGTCCTGTCTTCAGCTCCCTTGCCCATCATCCAGACAGGAAGTTCAAACTGATGAAAGACACCTGGTCCTCTTCTTTCTGTGCTTGCTTCCGGGTTGCCAGGTCCTATAGGGAAAAACAAAACCTACAGTTTCATTGGTTGCTGCCAGCCATAGAATTCTGTGTCTTTGATCAATTCTTTCTTCTATTTTCTGCTGCATTTATTGCTAATATTTGTTGTTCTCTGCACACGTCCAGCTCCTTGCTCTTTATTCTCTCTCCCAGCAGAACATCTTGTGTCTAATTTTGTAGAGCTCCTGCAAACCAGCAGACATGAGCTCCCCCACCTTGTCCCCGTGGACGACCTGTGCCTACAAGTGTTTCTTCCCTTCCCTCTGTGATGTGAGAGTTCTCTTCTTCCCAAGACCAGGGCCTCTGCCGGCTCTCTAGACCCCGTCCCTCCCTGCCTCCTGGGTGACGGCATTTCCTCCTCCCTCCTGTCCTGTGTCTGCAGCTCCTATGTCTTATGGCCCCTCCCACCCGCCTCCTCTCTCTTCCCCTTCACAGGAGGGTGGTGAAGAGTTTGCAGCCTCGTCTCAGCTCCTGCTTCAGGGTGTTGCCATCCCCACTGTTTTAGTGAGGCCGCTCTCACTAAGTCCCTTGTAACTTTCTTTTAGCCAAATCCACAGGCTGTTTCTCAGGTTTTGTCTCACCTGAGTTCACCTGGGCATTTTATGCTGTCAACCGTGTCTTCTTTCTGGAAGCTGTCTCTTGGCCTGCCGGTGACTGATGCCGATATCTTGGATTTTTCTAATTCTCTTCCTTCTTGGTGTCCCCTGCAGGCACCCTGAGTACTGGTCAGCTTGAAGGCTGGGCCCGTGTCCAGCTCCCTCCTCATACAGGAGCTCCCTGGGTCGTCCAGTCCCCAGCACGTGGCTTTGCTCTCAGACTGGTCTCTCCAGCTCAGACGGATACTCTCAGCTGCCGCGTCTGCACCTGGGCGTCTCGCCGGCATCTGCAGCTCTGTGTGTCCTGGACTGAGTCCATTATTTCCTCCCCTCAGCACAGTCAGGCTCAGTGAGCGCGCCTCTCCCCCCCCCCCCCCCGCATGCATTCTTAAGCCGGAAACGGAGGGGTCATCCCTGGTCATTCTTCTCTTCCTCCCATTAATCATGAAATACTGGTTCCGTGTTCTGAAAGGCCTTCCCATCCGTTTCTTCCGTTCTCAGTGCAGCTGGTCTGGTCCCCTGCTGTCTCTGACTTCAATTATTCCTGCTTCTAACCAGTTTCCTCACCGAGTCATATTTTCCTGGCCATCGTTGATTCCAGGCTCTTTTCCGGCTTCACTCTTTTGGCCCCGACCCCTCCTTCTGTTTCCGCTTCTCGCCTTTCACCCCCATTTGCTCACTGCCTCCCGCTGCGCTGGTCTTGGGTTGCTCTGACAAGAGTGTCTGCTCTCGCTCACACGGCCTCGTGCAGCTCTTCCTTCCATGTGGGATGGAGCGTTCTTCCTCCTCCACTCTAGTTCCCCTCCCCTCCCCCGCTGGCCCTCAGACCTCAGCTCAGGCTCACCTCCTCTCCGGAGTCTTCCTTCACCCTCCGTAGCCTGAAGCAGTTGCTCTTTGTTACGTGCTCTGCTCTCAGTTTCGTGGTCTCCGCTCTGAGGACAGGTCACACTGCAGGGTTCATGTCAGGGCCTGGCCCCCAGCCATGCTTCAGTGAAGAAGTTCTAGTCAGGATCAAGTCAGTTCTCTCTGGAAACTCGCGTTAGCACTCCTAGGCTTCCAGAATATTATTTAGTATATAGTTTCCTCTGACTCTGTCGCTTTATTTACTGTATTATTTTGTTGCTCTCTCCTTGTCTTTCTCTTCCTCCTCCTCCTCTTCTTTACCCTCCTCTTAGACTTTCTCTTCTGTCTTTTACTCTTTCTCCTTGCTCTCCCACTTTCTCTCTGTCTTCCCTCCTCATCCTCTCCCCCGCTTCTCTTTCCTCTCCCTCTCTCACTCCTTTCCTGCAGGGGAGACCTCCATCCCACACACATTTCTAGTTTACACACAGGTAGGGACGGTCGGGACCGTCCTGTGCAGCAGCCCTGGCCTCTTCCCACCAGATGCAACAGCAGGTTAACAGGGACCTCAGTCCTACAACTGCAAAGAAATGAATTTAAGTGGATTCTTCCTTAGAACCTTCAGATCAAAGCCCAGCCTGGCCGACACCTTGATTTCAGCCTTGTCAGGCCATAAGCGGAGGATCTAGCCATACTGTGCCTGGACTCCTGACCCGTGGAAGCCGTGAGATACTAAATTTATACTGTTTTAAGCCTTTGGGTTTGGATCAATTACAGGCTGTAAGCAGCTTCGCTCCCCATGGTTTTCTTGTATTGATGGGTCCCGTTGAAGTTTTGCCTCATTCTTCAAATACTGAATCAGCAGAGAGTGTTGTTGTGGGCACTACTTCATTCTGCTCCTGCCAGGCTCCTGAGGCTGATCAGGTGACAAGTGTGAGCGGATGCGTCCGTCTGTAGAAGACCTCTTACGTTCTGATTCATGTGTCCCTTATTTCCTTTGCTCTTGACTTCAGCGAATGAGTAGTGTGGTCCATTTGACCGTTGAGAAACTGAGTCCTAAAACATGATGTGAAGTAGTTTGCCGAAGGTCGCCTCTAGGAATGGTGAGGAAGAATTCAACCTCACATATTTGTGACTTAAAAATCCCATCTTTTGAAATCTTTTCCATAAGTAGCTGGAAAAGTTGGTAAAAACCCTGGTGTGGGTCTGCCTAAAGCCTTGAGGCGCACCCATGTTGTTGTCCCAGAACCTCAACTCACTCTTCAGACGTGGTGAACCGTGTGATCCCAGAGGGTCAGGGACAGAGTCTGTGTGGACGTTAACTTCCCTAGAAGGGTAGACTGATGGTTTTGTGATGAACTGGGAAAACAGGTTTCATCTTATAGCCAGAGCAATTTATTTCTTTAGTTAATGAGACCTGAAACAATATTTAGTAATTACAAAGTGAGTGCTTAATCGCCATCTGAAGAACAGGCCTTTGTTGGGCCTGTGCTCCTGGCTGTGAAGAGTCCCGGAATCCTTGGTACAGAACCTCAGAGTATAAACCTCTTTGAACACCACATGGGGGGGGCGAGGGGAAGGAGCAGAGTCCTGGAAGCTGGTGATAGACTTGGAGCCTCAGACATAGGAATGTTGAAGGTGGTTTAAGTTCCTTGAGGGATTATGTATTGTTCATTTGGTGTCTAACATTCTATGTTCTGCATAGATTTGTCGAATTGATTTAGAATGAATTGAATTGGGGGAGGGGTTCATAAGAATTTTACCATTTGTTCCTAAGCATCTTATCCCGTCTTTGGTTTGATTGAGAGAATTTCCAGTTTTTAAAGGTGTTATGACAGGACAGTGGTTTGTCTGATCCCTTGCTGTGGCTTCTGACATCAGAGCCTGTATCGATGTGATAAAACTGGGAATCCCCAGTCCTGCTGCCTGCTTGCCCTGTAACCACAAAAATCTCAAGCCTGCTCTTCTGTTGTATGAAATTTTGAAGTAAATTTTTGTGAATAAAAATAAAACAATTTAGAGTGTGCTTTTTAAAACTGTGTCTGATTCCCAGGAATTCTGATAGACACTGCCGCCTCCACGGTCTACTGCAGGCTCCTCAGCTGTGGCTCTCCTGACGTTATGGGTGGTAATTCTCCTACCGGGGATTGTCCTGTGCAGCGCCCCTGGCCTCTTCCCACCAGATGCTGGCAATACCTCCCCAGTTGTTTCAACCCAGAATGTCTCCAGACATTGCCAGATGTCCTCCAGAGGGCAAAGTGCCCCTGGTTGAGAACCAGTGATCTAGTTTAACACCAAGTTAGCCAGTGTAGCCAGTCTTTCATTGGTAATTATGTGATAACTTCGAATTTGGACATTTTTGTTTGATGAAGGATTTCCTGGCGTGAAGTGTGTAAGTCTCCCCAACAAGATTGCAAACCTTTGGGAACAGGGATTCCTTCTTTTTATATACATCGTGTCTAATATAGCGTTGGGTACTTAATAGAGCCTAAAGGTGTGAGAGTCTGGTTAATGTAATTGTGCATATTCCCCTAACAGTGAGATTTCAGTTTAGTTCATACAATCACACTAATCTGTTGTGTGAACTAATCACAGATGCATGCAGATTTATATTAAGATTTTAGATTCATTTGCAAATGTTCTGAAAGGTTTATTTGACTTTATGGTTTAAGATCTGGTTTTTCTCTCAAATAATTTCAAGACACAAAAGTGACTTTCTTTTGCATACCTTGCTTTCCAAATGTGAAGCTGCATTTTGCGTCGTGAAGGAATTTATTCTGAAGCTTATATTCAGATTTCAGCTTGTAGTGAAATTCTCTAGCCGACTAAACCTTTAAAAATAAAAGCATATAGAAGCAATGCATGCAGATAAATTTCGCATTGGCTACTTGAAGGAACCCCTGAAATAACTTTCTTTAGGCGTGGAACATCTGCGTCAACATCACGCTATTTCTCGGTTTCTTTTAAAACCTGTTTTGTCTGTGTCTTTAACATATTCATACTTCTTTCATTGTCAGTCATTACCTTCTTAAGGCTGTGTTCTAATATGTTTTTTTTTTTTT